ATCCCCCCCCCCCCCCCCCCAAAAGAAACCGAATTTTCAATTTCGACACCAAAAAATCCATTTTACTCTGAAGAACTAACCTTTGGAAGCCCGATGTCGAGAGCACATACTGCTTATGCACCCTCTGGCATATGCAGTATGTGCACATAAAACTTGGTTTTTCTCAAATGGCATTTTTAAAATAAATTTTTCAACTTCGATATACCTTTTCTTAAAAAGTGATGACTCAGTTTCGCTGATACTTTGCATGTGTAAGCTACCACTAGTTGAAAACAATCTGAACTAAAAAGAAAATGCTGGTTTTGTAAGAAGTAAAGCTGTAAAAAAACAAAATTAAATAGCAATACGCACTCTCTGGGGGCTTTGTGCGTGCAGCAATTTTTTTCTTACAGAAACTTCATAAAGGATGTCCTATTTTTTTAGTTCATATATAACCTAAGAGTCTCTACAATAACACGGCTGAATATCATTACGCTTCTTTCAGTGGTTGCATAGAAAAGGCAGATTAAGTAAGTGAACCCACTTTAAAATTTTGGAGTGGGCTATAGGAAGGATAGGCAATTTAGCCATAAGACAAAGGGGTTTCACATGATACCCAGTGGTATTCTTTGTGAGCCCGTGAAATTTTATGTGCATACTTACAACAGTTTCTAAGATATTATGTAAAAATTGGCAATTAATTTACCCTACCGTACCCCCTTGAGCTGTGAGTGGGCTTTCTCAGAGTAGTTGTTGCATAACCCTTTGTCACAAATTTAAGCGAAGTGTGTGTGCAGGAAAATTACTCCATTTTTTTTTCAACCAGAGTATGTTCCATGAACATAACACGAAAACATAAGTTGGTACGCTTTGTCAAGTTTTAGGGCATGTGCACATGTGTACGCTGTGACCCAGTCGGCACAAATGAGACATAGTGGCTTGAAGCGCTGCCTCATGTGACATTGTTGATCGTGACGGCATTCTGCACACAGTGTGCATGTTTACTTCAAGGGTTAAAAAAAAATCCGGTGATTTAGGGGCTCTTTAATGAAGCGTGATATCGAAGGTTGTCAAACGCATACCTGTCAACTCTCGAACTGTCCGGCAGACTCCCGAATTCGGAACTAATCGCTCAAATGCATGTATGCTATCTTGAATCTCATAAAAAGACCCCACCACAGCAGAGGAAATAAACTTTATTAAAGAAAAAAAAAAAAATGGCAAGATGTGGAAGAATTGTCTCCTTCCCCTAGGTGGCAGCCATGAGTCCTTGAGCTCTGGCGGCATCCTCGGCTTGCCGAAAGACGTCGAGTTGCACTTCTGTGTCTGCGCTTAGGAGTGCGGTCTCCCACTGTTCTTCATTGCTGTATTTTTTTTTTTATACTGTCCTGTCACTGAGGGGCAAGCCCACACTATATGATTGAGATCCGCTTTTTTATTACAGAACTTACACAAATCTGAGTATATCTCGGGGTAGATGTAGTGAAAAGTTACCGGGTTCAGGAATGTGTTGGCTTGTAAGAGGTGCCATGCAGTCGCCTGCTGCTTGTTTAGCGAGGTATATGCCGGGGGGAATCGGACCTTTCCTAGCCTGTAGTGTTTTGTGATCTCTTCATAACTAATTATGTGGTCCCTCCCCATCCCCGGACTTCTCGCTGCGCCTGTTCGGCGGGCCAGTTCTTGAGCCAGGTCGTGCGCGATTTCGTTCCCGGGGGAGGGAGGAGTCAGCAGGTGCCCATATAATATGAACTACCCGCTCGTCGCAAAAGTTAGCCAGAATTCTTAGTGCTTCCGGTGAGATCCTTCCCTTGGCATAATTTTTAACAGCGGTTTTGGAATCGCTGATCACGACTTCGGCTTTTGTGGAGGCTAGTGCTAGTGCTCTAGCCACCTCCTCTGCCACTTCTGCCCTATCTGTACGTACACTGCCACTGACATTGGAATCCCTTTGAACATTCGTAGCTACGATTACCACGCTTCGGCCATTCTCGTATTCTGCTGCATCTACATAGACCACGTCCCGGGCGTTGCTGAACTTTTTATGTAGGCTTTTCGGCCTTTCTGTTCTTCTAGCGTGGTGATGCTCAGGATGCATATTTCTAGGTAATGGAGGCACCACGATATGCCCCCTTGCAGCAGAGGCGTTTTATTTAGTCACATGCATACGTCAGCCTTTCCTGCTGCGACAGTTATGGTGCTGCGGAAAAGCACTCGCCACTATACTTCTAGTTCATTGTAACCATACCGTAGAGTACTGCTGAGTATACAGGCACTATAGTAATGGGCATCTGGGCGAAGGCTACGTGCAAAACGTGCTCACCACTGTACGGTAAGAAGGCAAGGGTAAAGGTATCACATCCCTCAGTCTTTGGCCCGTACATTTAGTTCGCTAGACAGACACCACCTGCCTAGGCATCTGTTGTGCTTGCTACATGGCTGTGGGGGTCGGGTGTTTCCCCAAGTTTAGTTTGAAGGTTGGTAGTAGTGTAGAAATCAAACAAAATATCTTCAAGTGTTTCTGTACTCGTACACAGCTGAGTTTTTGGGTTTTTTTTTTGCGGAGTGGGGACAAGTATGGATTCTGTAGCATGGGCGCTTGTGATGTAAGCGTTTAGCAAGGAGGCAGCAAGGCCAACTTATATGTGCACATCGCTTCACAAAAGCATCAGAACTACATTGGTGCTACAGAATGGCGGGGGATCATTGAAAGTTAAGGAGGCATTCGGTGGATTTCACTGCTGACGGTTGTCCCGTCTGCAATGTTCTATCTTCGACGACCGCTCGCCAATCGGAGCCCTGTCCGCGAACTTCTCTAACCGTCTGCTAGTCTTTATTTTCTCTCTATCTCTTTTCTTCCCTCCTTATCCCTTCTCCTGTGAACCACTGCTGAGGTGTCTCTCACTTTTGATGCAGACAGTATTTTTTTTTCTTCAATCCCCACTCCCCCTGTCGCCTGAAGTTTATTACAAAAGAGCTGCAAAGACTGTGCGATTCGCGTAGAGTGCCTATTCACGGGATTTCGTGTAGAACATAACTTGCCGCTAAGCGTTGATCACGCGAAACCGTTGCCCCCCCCCCCCCCCCCCTGCAGTTGCTATGGTCTCGAGTTTTATTCTGCTAGGTTGGCAGGTATGCAAACGCGAAGTCCGGGACAGTCGGTGCAGAATGGCCCATTACCATGAGCTGATACATTTTGAAAGGCACATCATGTGGCCTGTGTTCACTTATACTTCAAAAATTGTTTTCTTCCAAAATCAACTTGCTCTGATCTACACACATGTGCCGTGTGCACATGTGCAGTTAGTGCCTCAAAAAAGCTGCTCTTGCTTGCCCGCGATGTTTCTTAACAGTGATCAGTGTTCACATGCAGACAACGTTGCAGTTGTCATGAATGAACTTGCGTCTTAGCACGCAGCAACAACCCACTGTTGACAGTGCTCACACTTTATGGTTAGAAGATAATTAGCCACAGAAGGTGTATAGTTTTTTAAGCATCCAGGATGTCTCCATCCTGTTTATGGAGACATTGCTAGTAGCGAAATGCTGTTGCAATGCTGAAGGAACGTTGCTTTATGTTTAGGCCACACTCCTGCATTAGTCCCGCATTCCACTTTATGGTTGCTTGAAACATGCTTTGACGATGACATGAAAGCGCAAAAAAGGGCAACGAAAAGGCAATACAGCCTCCCACAGTATGGGGGGGGGGGGCTAATTGACAACACTGTGAGCAGTATGCCATATTGCCGCAAGATGGTGACACATCCACCTTGAATGGTTGGATTTCTCCACCCCTGCAGCAAAGTGGACAGAAGTCAACGTGTTCAGTTTGAACGGCTGCGTGCCCTCACTGCCTCCGCTTTGAAAATTGGCTTGCATGCTCCGTGTTTGGTGTGAACGTGCCTTTACAGAAGTGCAAAAGCTGTGCCAATTGTGCAATTTGATGTATTTCCTTATTTTTAACCAAGTTGAGTTACAACCATGACATTTGTTGAAATGGTGCCACGCTGCGCCATAATGCTCAACCAGCCTCGAAATTTTATTTGCAGTAATTCTAGCAAGAAACGTCCAGTTTCAATGTCCAGATGCGCATACCTCCACAGTAAAAGAAGAGAAAGGACAGCAGTTCTATAATTTTCTGGCTTTCAATTGCAAGCAGAACACTTTTTAAGGGGCCCTGAAAAACTTTTTGCGCAAGGACAGAAAACTCTGCCGATATCTGGTCCAGGCTGTCAAGAGCACTGGAGTCAAAGATTATAGTGCGACACGCGGCCTAAAGTTTACTATGAATTCTTAGTCAGCTAGAAAGGGCTTTTTCTTCTTTTCACGAATGATGCCGTATACCCAAATTTCTGTGTCACATTTGACAAGTCCACGGTGACTGGCTGATTAGCTGCATAGTTAGTGTTGCATGTGGCCATGTAGAGTCGCCCACATCTTTGATTGATTGTGCACAATGGCGACTCTGTGTCACCACCAATAATGGAATGATATTCTGGAAAATTATTTTGTGGGCAAGTGGTGTGTGGACATGCACTTGTCCTCGCCTTTTTAGAACTCAATTCAGTTGACAAATGACTTGTGCTTAAAATTGATTTTTGATAAATTCTAAGTTGTATTTGATCTTGATATTTGGTTACAAGGCACAGTGCAGTATTGTTAATAAGGCACAATACTGTGTTGTAGGGGGGTTTCGAGGCCCTTGAAAGTGAAAGGGATACTTCGGGGTCCTGGAGTTTTTTCTTGGGGAAAAACTGACTTCCCTTTTAAATGCTGTACTAATATTGACTGTGCGACCCGCTATCTATGGTGGATGAGCATCATTTTGCAAAATCATGCTGGTTACTAGTGCGAAATATTTTTGCTTTTTTTATAGCCTTTTTGCTCAATCTTCAACATTTCTAAATTTAAATTTTTTTATGGTTGTTAACTTTTAAAAACACATCTTTAGCTATTTGCAGATAGTACATGGTGTGTACCTCTTGTGATAATAATTCATACTCTGATTTTTTTTTTCAACACAGGCCTCCAAAGAGGAAGAGTCATATGTGGGATGTGGCCGTGGCGGCCGTGGAGCAATTCTCATGGCGGCCTTGCAGCGGCAAGCCAGGCGTCCTGGCTCCACTAGTGCTGATCCAAAAGAAGCACCTCACACGGTACACTGTTTATGACCTGTATCACTTGTTCTTATAACTTTATGAGGGCATGGGAAAATGTAGCGAGATTTTAATTTTACTTTTTTCTTTCACTCCAGCTTAGATGTGTAACTGCCGTATTCATGAACCGACCTCAACTTATGGCGGTAAGGCTACTTATGAAAGGACGAAAAAAAGTATAAGAAAAGAAACGCTACTTTCATTCACAGAAGTTCATTACGCGACGCCAGTACGAGAGAAGGCGTTCCAAACGCAGGCACTCGGCGCTGGCGAGAGGTTCGTCTGCTGCTAGGCCTAGCTGCGGCAGCAGCGACGCACCTTATTTAGAATATTCGAGCTTCATTCCTATCATCGATGACTTCATCAGTGCTTCGGAGTGAAAGATAAAGATGTTCAACGACAAAAGCAAGTGTCAGGATGAACGTGGAAGCGCATTTATTTGTGAGACCGATGTGATACAGAACCTCGTCAGCGGCGCAGTATGCCCCAACTGCGGGCGGTGCGAGCTGTTTATACGAGTAATGGCAAGTAGACGATAACGACTGGCATCGTTTTCGCAACTTTACCGCCGAAATGACGCTCTGCTGCAACTGTTGTCTCGTCCACTTACACGTCAAGCCGCATGTATCCGTCATGCAGTGGAAGCAAGGAAACGTCCGTCAGCGGCAGTGCACCAGACAGCTTCGCTGTGAGCGTGAAGTCGGTGGTCGCACCATCGGCGTCGGACACAAGTAGCTTGTGCGGTTTTGTGCCATTATTGGTATTCAAAAACCACTGCGTCACAAGAACTGCCATTGGCAAAAAAAAAGTGCATACCGCCGTCAAAAACCTCGCACAAGCCCCGAGACCAACAGACCATTGCCGCCGTAGAAAAAAAAAAAAAGCTTGTCGGGAGGAGGCAGCTTGCAGAGACTGTAAGAGTCTAATATATAGTTCTGGATTATTCTGAAACTGTCAACTTTTTCAAGATGGCTTTTCTGACATTCTCTGTTAATTTCATGCAGATTGGTTGAGGAGTATAGTATTTGACATGTTTTTGAATTTTCTAACCTTTTTCTCAGTTCCTCATTTTTCGGAAGTTTTAGAGCTTTTGCACTACATTTTGTACTCTTTATGTAGTCGGCTTGCAATGAACCTTCGCATGCTTCAAGTTTAACATGTTCTAAACTCAAATAAACAACTTTCAGAGGTCTTCAAAGCATATTCAGGTACATAATTTTAAGAGCTTGTTCTTTGAGTATGGTAAAACTCTAACTCAGCACCTGAATTTTTTTTTCTAGGCCAGCACACACATGTTACACAATGTTTCGTTGCTTTATTGAACTCTTCAATTCATTAGGAGCAATATTTGTTATATTTTAGAGCTTTCTTGTGCTTACTATTGTTGCCTAAGCTTGCATGAAAATGCATTGTTTTTATAAATGCATGGTCTGCAAAAAATTAACTAAATGAGCCATGAAAAAATAAAAGCAGATTTGAAAAGAGGAGCTCGAACTTTATAACTGGTAAAAGTTTCATTGAGCTGTCACAGATATCTGAAGAAAAAGTTTTTTGATTCCCGGCTGCGGCGGCTGCATATCCGATGGAGGCGGAAATGTTGTAGGCCCGTGTGCTCAGATTTGGGTGTACGTTAAAGAACCCCAGGTTGTCGAAATTTCCGGAGCCCTCTACTACGGCGTCTCTCATGATCATATGGTGGTTCTGGGACGTTAAACCCTACATATCAAAGTTTTTCAATGAGCATCTCCCCTTAAGGTAGGTCTTAGGCTACCTTAACCGAGCCTTATTCAGGTACGAGGAAAGTTCCGCTTTAAGTACAAGGTAAGTTCTTGAAATGCGTTAAAAGCGGACTTATGACTAAGGTTTACTTAAACCATATGGGTAAAGTAAAGTTAGGTTTGTGAATACGGAGGTAAGAATTTGGCACACTCTGAGGTGAAAATCTGTGTATGGTCCTAGAGGACATGTAAAGCCTCCTAGCATATGCGAAAGGACTGCACCGTCAAGTTCATGAGACGATTTGTGTATCATAGTGTTTAACCTCTGTTTAATGTATGCATAATTACAACTAAGGACATAGTTGAATTATCAGTTTTTGTTCAACTGGGATTTTCTCCAGATAAGAGTTGATTAACAGGTTTCTAAAACAGGTTAGCACGCTTTTCAGCGAGTATTAGGAATGGAGTCATGCGAGGAACTCCAATGAAACGATGGGATAATGAGTGTGTTTGCGTATCTTTGTGGTGGAGGTTGCATTATGAGCAAAGTTTTTCAGGAGCCGCCTTGTATCTTTGAAGACTGTGCTGATAATGGTGTAACATTTCGTGTGAGTGGTGGAAGGCATCATAACATTTCCTGCTCATATTCAGCTTGAGGTCCCGCTCACGTGGCAATGTAGGCAGAGCGAGCCCCGCCGCGGTGGTCTAGTGGCTAAGGTACTCGGCTGCTGACCCGCAGAGCGCGGGTTCAAATCCCGGCTGCGGCGGCTGCATTTCCGATGGAGGCGGAAATGTTGTAGGCCCGTGTGCTCAGATTTGGGTGCACGTTAAAGAACCCCAGGTGGTCTAAATTTCCGGAGCCCTCCACTACGGCGTCTCTCATAATCATATAGTGGTTTTGGGACGTTAAACCCCACATATCAATCAATCAATGTAGGCAGAGCGAGCCTTTCTATTGTTGTTAACTGTCGTGTGGATAGTGGGACTTCATGCGTATTTGTAATCTTTGCTCAAAAAACATCTACTGAAGTTTGTGACTTACTCCTAGCCAAAAGTATTTATTTCTAGGTTAAATTATTTTGCCAGAACAGGTGCTTTGCTAGAACTGTCTGTGTGCCAATTCCTGTATGAGCCTTTAGCTTACAATGTAAATGAATAAATACAGGATAACCTTGTTGATCTGTTTTTCAGGGGTTCGTACAAAACTTGGTATTCAGGAAATGCATGAGTCAAATGGGAAAAAAAAAAAAAGCATGGTGAAGTGTTGGCTGGTGCATTTTTTATGACTTTTCAGCAACAGTTAAGCACCTGTCGTGTTGGGCTAGTTCGTACGAATTACTCACTTGACCCTGACTTTTTATGCTAATTAGACAACCTTGTGCCGTGTGCCTCTAGCCCTAATCACTTAAGCATACATTTATTCTAGACAAGTCTGGAGTGAAAGCTTGAGTTGTCGGATATGTATTTCTGCAACTTGCATACCGTACATATGGTGCCACAGTCAACTAGGCTTTCGGGATCTGTGTTTCTTGTCTAAAGCTTGCATTTAGGACTCATCATCGGAGGTGCTTGTCGTGGTCTGCTGCTGATTGCATTCCTCGCAAGTGTGCTGCTTTATCTGTAGACAGCTTGATGTGTAGACAAAATCTTGGTTGAATGTGCTGTTAAAAAGGCCCTGCAGCACTTTGTGAGCATGGTCAGAAAACGCTTCCGATCGGTAGTAAAGGCTCCCGACAACATGCGAGCCAAATATTATAGCGCAGCACGCGGCTTGGAATTCAGAATAAATTATCAGTCAGCTAAAAATAGCTTTCTCTTCTCTCAACAAATCCTGGAAAATAAGCCCAGTAAGCCCATCTATCACCCATTGGCAGATTTGAACATGGCGTGCTCTGTTGTTACAGAGGTCGTCGCGAGAAGTTGTCACTTGTCCATGCATGTGCGTGCGTTCGCACTGAAAAAGCTGCACATTCGAAGAAACAAGAAAAAGAAAGAAAAGTGCTCAAGGGCACAAGGCACGAGTGACGTTTTTTGTTTGCCCCTCCCATCTCTTCTTGCTCAGCTTCTAGCGCTTTCGTTGGGACCAGAGAAAAGAGAATGTGATTGAAGCGTGTGACAAGTCTTTGTAACTCCGCTCGCTCGTACTGGACGGATTCTCAAAATTTTTTCGGTGTTCAATTTGTGAGGCAATACGCTTTTCCAGTGAATTAATTGCATGGTTATTTAAAGGAAGTTTCAGGGCCCCTTTAAAGGGAGACCCTGCTTCAGAACCATGATTCTTTGTTTTTGAGGATATAAATATGAAAATTTCACAGGATATGTATTTTTGTGTGCTGATTTGAAACATGCAATTATTGTTCTAATACAATGCATACTTCTCAAACTATTCAATATTTTCTGGATTGTTAGTAATAAGATTTATTTCTAAACTGCGAGTGCAAGAAAGCAAATCAGTGTATAACAGTAACCCGGAATGAATACTGTATACAGTGAAATGAGAATGGATACTTTAAAGGGGAACTCCGTCGTTTTCTGAATCTTGACCGATTTCAATAAAACATTTGAACGTTTGTTCTCATCGGTACTGGGGTGAAATGTGCCAAATTATACAAATGTGAGTTATTTATTTCTCTAGAAAACAAGTTTTAAAATTGGTAGCTGATTTTGGAATCGCACTTGTAAACACAGGCCGCCCTGTGTATGAAACATAAGGGCCTAGTCTTTTTCAAAAACCCCGCCTTTTCCAGCAGACCGATGCAGCGTGTGCTCTCTTCTATGAGGCGACGAAAACGCGAGCACAGTTCAGTTCTGTCAGCTGTATACAGCGTGTTAGTAGTCGTTGATGTCAGGTCTTACAATATGGAGCAATGAAGAAATCGATTTGGGCATGTCGAGGCTTCACGCGCTGGCGGGTCGAAATTAAAAAGCGATGTTTCCGCGCTCAGACAGTAGCTGCAATCATCGCTGAACTTGTCACTGAAAAGTTCAGACGAGCTGGCACAGGCATTATGAGTGGTTTTATACTCTGGCCGGCCGTGGCGGAGTGTAGCGAATCTTGCGACGTTATCCGATATGGATGAAGGAGCAGCTCCCTGTGTTGGTTTTTTTTTACTTGTCGTTTATTGATTAATTAAAATTACTTACCATTGCCTGGAAAAAATAAAGCACCCTTGCTTCTGCAGAACTGTCGGTAACATTTGAAAACAGCATTATCTTAGTATGGTCGAAAATGCACCCGAGTGCCCTTTTAAAGTTATGGTACATTGAGTATTTGCAAAAGCC